GTCGGCGACAAGACATTTACCGGGGTATTGTATACACATGAGTAGTGAGGGGGTGTTACGGGCTGGGGTCGATACTTGCTGGGTCTAACGGGGTTTGGTGGTCCAACAATATTAGTCACAAGACACGAGGGCGTAGTGAAACAACTATGAAAGTGACAGGGGGTAGTAGCGATAATAAATTTATGAAGGAAAGAGAGTGTATCCTGCCTGACGGCATCGGACAAACGTACCTTCGCCGTTTCTGTACTCCAAGGTGTCGCAGTCGCTCGGCTGTTTCTTGTTGCACTCGTCCGAGGCCCTGCTGCATCGAAATCATAACATCGCATCAATCGAATCCAACCACACGCGGTGTATCTATTACGCGCTGATAGAAATTTGCCACTTGGGACTTCGAACAGACAGACAGAGTCTTTAGTTGTGTCTTTTCTTCGTGATATCGAGTAATTAAACACCAGTGCCAAAAAATGATAAGACATGCCTCTTTGCACATCCAATTTATACCAAAGCTTTCAGATACTTTCTTTCTATCAACGCGTAATAAGAAACGAAATATCAGCCGCTCGAGGGTGGCCGATTGCATACCTTCTCAATATCAGAACGGTCATGATGATAATGATCACTAGCAGAACGACCACTGCCACGATAGCGCCGGCTATGATCCTCACTTGCATGTTGTCGTCCTCACCGACGTAATCTAAAACGAAAACGAACGTTCGCGTTCGAGAATCGCGTTCAAAGATCCCACTTACACGTCGCGGAAATAGCCAAGACAATTACCTAGACCCATCGCGTGCGGCGTTTTCTTGTACACCACCGGAGTATATTCGCCCCAGCCACGCGTCGTCTTCGCTCGAACCTGGATCGCGTAGTCCGTGGATGGTTTTAGGCCTTTGAACGTCGCGGAAAGGTCCGAGGTTTGGATGACGGTGGCGTTGGTAGCGTCGTCGTAACGTGGATAACACCTCACTGGAACAAATATCGAAAAACATTACAAGATCATTCCCATATCGAAGTTCTAAATACTCCACGTTATTTTCGAATTGCTCCTTTCGCTGAATCTTTCAGCAACTCGATAACCAATCGCATCTCACCTTCGTATCGCTCTACCAGATCGCTGTCCCCACCGATCTCGGTTATCGGAGCGTCCCAGCTGATGCTCAACTCGGAACTCTTAACGCTGGTGATGCGCACGTTGCTGACTAAGCTAGGCACGCTAGCCTCAGTAGTCACGGTGATGTCCACGTACTCAGATTTCCCTGCCAACGCCGACGCACCGTTCTCGGCGAACACTTGGAACCGATAGGTCGTCACCGCGTTTAGGCCCGTTATCGTGATCTTCGTGTCGTTGAAGACCTCCTGCTTATCCAGCGGAAACCAGAATTGTCCGATCGTCATCGATATACAATAGTAAAGACAAAGATACCGTATCGAGAATGAAACTTACGGTGCTGGGAATGTACTTGACACCCATGCTACAGGCATCGCAAACCACCCTGTAGGTAGTATCCGTCCTACCACCGAGCTGGTGAGGCGCGTTCCACGAGAGGATGACGGTGGATTGGTCGACGAAATTCACCGTCAAATTCTGCGGCGCCGACGGTGGTTCTGCAAAGGCAAACGATTAAACGGTACGGTCCCTGACGATGCCGGCAGCAGAAGAGGATCATCCACTCACGTGTACAGGGCATATTCTTGGGGTCCTTCTCCGCTCTGTAGTAGCCGGGATCGCATCGGCATTCCGTGAATCCGTAATCGGAGGACTTGCTGTGCGTTGGGCAGAGTTCGCAGCTGTGCGATCCCGCCTCGTACTTGAATTTACCGATCGGGCATTTCGTGCATTCCTGTTTCTCGACGTCCGCGTGGTAGCCGGGCTTGCAGTGGCAGGCGCCGGTCGGCAGGTACCATTTTCCGTCTCCCTTGCAGAGGAAAGTGGGCTGCTCGACGACCATAGCGTTGTCCACGCAGGTGCCGTTCGTCTGCTCGATCAGCGCGACCTCCTGGCCAGTCGGCGTCGCCGGGAAGTGCGCGAAGTTCACCGAAATCTCCGGGCAGCTGATATAATAGACCTTGATCGCTAGAATCGAGATACAAGCGCCCTGATCGCGGAACGCGAAGTACACGCCCTTCTTCGTCACCGGGACCGACTTCACCTCCGTGTTTATCACGACTTCGGTGTTCGTGTTGAACCTCCCCTCGCCAGCGGCGATGCGTCCTGCGAATCAAGGGGAACGTTTTGTCTTCTTTGGCTTCTTTCACTCCCGAGGAGAAAGTTTTTCCCAGCGGGAAAGCGGGGATAAAGTTTGCCGGGGCTTACCGATCAACTTGTAACTGTCGGTCTTCCATGGCGGCGGCTCCTTGGTGGCGGCGTCGAACTCGTAGTAGAGCAGACTGAAAGTTTCCTTGCAGCTGCGCGCGGTTCCCGGGAACAGCGAGCAGTCACGGATCGTGAATTTGATTTCTACGTACATGCGGTTCGCCGGACCCCTCTCGATGAACGGCGTCCACAGCCAATTGTTCACGTTGTTGTGCGCGACGTCGCAGACAACGTAGCTCCGCCAATTGATGCCCCTGTCGAAGTTCGTGAACGACTCTTCCACCCACTGCAATCAAGCCAGAACACACGGGACGATCTTAATTTCGTGATGCTCGATAGCCACTCGTCTAAAGAGCGCGAGGTCGCGGGGCGCGGGACATTTTCTCGCCCGTCAGCCCCCGGATTTATCCTACGCGCGCGCCGAATCAACCGCGATAAGATAAACGGAGTTTAAATAATGCGAGGACCCCGCGACTCAGGGGATCCCCGGCCGCGACCCTCGGAGAACCGGCGTTCGCTGTTTGCGTTCGGATTACGCGAGATTCCACCGCGTCAGCATCTACGAAATCAGCTTTTCTCGAACCCCTCGTCGCGAGTTGCTCTCTCCCTCTAGCTCCTCATCCTCCTCCGTCTCCTCCACCTCCTCCTCCTCCTCCTCTTTCTCCGACTAGTTCTTCCGCTCCACGCTTCAAGGTCTTCCTATTGATTTCAGCTACCCTGGCCCTTTTGATGATATTTACAGAAACAACGAAGACGGATTACCGTCTCCGGATTTCGAAGTTCCAAGGAATTCCGTCGGGGAGTCAGGCGACTAGAAGGATTTGTTCGAGCGAGAAGGGGTGGACAACGGATAGAGAC